TTTTTTGAATAATGAATAACTATTTGTATATCATCTCCAAGCTATTTTGCCTAGAAAATTCAATACTTTTTCTAGTTTCATAGTGAGCTAACATCCTTTACAATTATACTTCTTTGTGCATCATGTTATTTTTTATGAAAATTTAATTATTCTTTTTGTTAACATTTTTATTATTTTTCTTCAATGTTTCTCATTCTTATGAGGTTGTAATTTAATTCTATGTTTTAAAGCTTATAGAAGTAGTTAGTCCGAATATTCAAATTAATTGATTTTTTGGAGCAAAAGAATATATTCACATTTTTTTTGATATTAGCAAAAATTAAAAAAAAATAACCCTTAAAAATGAAAGTTGAAAAAATTAAATAAATAAAATCAAAGTAATAAATTTATTAATTCATTAAAATTAGTTGTAGGATAAAGTCTAAGTAACATAAAGCGTAATAAATATAAGCTAATAAACCTTTTAGTTCTGTGTCTTGGTGATATAGTTCTTTTTACCGCAGACCACGTTCCTTCGATAGTATTGGTATGTACGCCTGTTAAATTATCAACAAAACTAATGCTGTGATTTACTGTTTCATGAGCAAGAAAATACTCAGACAATCCAATGTAGCCTCTCCAACAGTCAGAATAGATTATAGAATCTTTGTGTATATATCGTTTCAATAAAGTAAAAAGAGTAGAAGCAGATCGATCTGGAACTGAAATAAGTATACATTTTCTTTCTGATGTACGTTCCACCATGCCTAAAACCCACACACCTTTGACGAGGTGACCTCTGTGATATTTTCTTTTTCCAAATTTTGATTCATCCACTTCTACAATAATACCTGGTCCTCCAATTGTTTTGAACTCTGAATAAAATCTTTGTATTGCCATTTCACCCAGTTTTTTTAGATTCCTTGATACTGACTTCTTGCTTATTTTTAATAACAGTGTAATATGTCTTCGAGCCATTGATTGAAGCCAAAGTTTACATAATGCTAAAAAGACACAAGGTTTAAGCTTTGATTTATAGAAAATAGTTCCTTGCCAAACTGAAGTGGAAAACTTACATGACTTCCATGAACATCTTATAATTAAACTGCCTCTGTTTGTGAGAATAATAGCCTTACTCCCGCATTTTTTACACTTTTTTTCAATGTTATCTTTATATTTTTTAATAAACTTGTTCTCTTCTGAAAAATCATAATTCATTTTTAAGGGTTATTTTTTTTAAATTTTTGCTAATATCAAAAAAAATGTGAACATATTCACTTTAACCGATTTTTTTATTAAATATTATTTAATAAATAAATTACAGTTTTTAATGATTGAGAAAGTATTACATTCCTCTATCTTGAACATATTTAAGAAAAAATTATATGGATTTAAACCAATTATGGATAAATCAGAAGCAAAATTAATATTAAATATTAGGAAAACTGATTTAAATTCTGTAAACAATGCTTACAGGAAGGAAATCTTATTAATGCATCCAGACAATGGAGGAAGTAAATATATAGCATCAAAAATACATGAAGCAAAGGATATTTTATTAAATAATAAATGATTCAATTGTAATTTTTATTGTTTTTTACATCTGCTACTCTTTGCATGTGTTGATCACTTGGTGTATTGTTTATTGCAATTACTTCTTTCTTGCCAAATGTATAATCAAATTCTTTCTCAAAAATAAATTCAACATCCTCTATTGTCATAATTTCTTTTTTCTTTAATTTAGTAAGCATTGATGCTCTTGATAACACATCAATTAACATTTTTTCTCCAAATCTTTGTAGTTGTGAGGTAACTTCTGGTTCTATTTTCATATTAGAATGTTTTGTTAGTAAATTTAGTAAATTTTTTTTAGGTATCAATGATTTATCTTCATTATAAGGAATATTAGACATGGGTTCTTAAGTAAAGCATTTTATTAATTTATGGTTGATCTTTATAACTTTTATTTTAAATTATTTAATTTAAATAAAAATATTAATTTACTTTTAAGAATAATTAATGCAAAAAATAAAGTTTTATAAAGGACTAGATATTTAATACTTATGGATAACATTGTTAGGTGTATGAAAACATTCTTCCTATAAAAAGATCAAGCATAGCAATAAGGAGCTATGCTCCGAGAAAATTTTTCTTCTTCAAAAGCATCCCAGGCGGGATTCGAACCCGCGACCTTTGCCTTAGGAGGGCACCGCTCTGCCAACTGAGCTACAGAGACAGTTTTTATTATTATGTGAAATTAAGTTGTAATTTTTTGTGATATTTTTTTATATTTACGTTTAATGAGCCAATTCATTAAAATATGCAAAAATCAATTATGTACACCAATCTTCTTTTTCTAATATTTTATTAAAATCTTACAAACATCTATGTCTATTGAAAAAGAAAATACTATTTTCAACTTATCTGTTTCTGTATGTTTCTAAAAACATATGTAACTATTCTTATGATATATTGAGCAGTAAACAAAATAAAAAAGATTTATAAATTTATTTAATTTTGAACTTTAAATTTTTTAAAAATAATTATTTTTTTATATTTAATAATTATATTATTTATTTTATTGAATATTTATTTAATTTAAATATTAAAAAGGGGAAAAATCAATTAGAAATTAAGAAATAACCCATGGAAAATATGAGAGAGAAAAAGAAAAAGACTTGGAAGCTATGCATGTTTAAATTTTTAAAATGGCTGGCAAAAACAGAAAAAGAATCCAATTATATAGAAATGAATGATACAACTCTTACCAAAATGTGATAAATAAAGATTTTTTGATATTCTTAAGAGTTTTTATTCATTTTTCTTTAATTTCTTATCAATAAAATCAACTCTTTCTTCCAAAGTTGGGTGACTATTGACATAAATGGAATACCACTTATCAGTGACTGGAGGAGCCTTGTTATCTTGGTATAGTTTAATTAAGCCACTTCTTAGTTCTAAACCCAAGCCAAGATTAATTGCAAACTCATCAGCTTCAACTTCAAATTTTCTGGAAACGTAGCTTTGTAAATAACTTAAGAAAATATTTACAAATGATAAGTAATAAGAAAAATAAATAAAATCAATTATTATCACTTCATTTTTGTTACAGGTAAATGAATAAGTAAATAGAACAAGTAACTGAATTAAAAACATTAATGATAAATTCTTGTAAATATGATTTCTAGATGCATGTCCAAACTCATGTCCCAATACAGCAATTATTTCACTTGTGCTCATTTTATCCATTAAAGTATCAAACAAAACTATTCTTTTTTCCTTAAACAATCCAATAAAATATGCATTAGAATGATGACTTCTCTTGCTACCATCCATTTTCAATATCTTTTTAACCTTTACAAAAGGATAGTCTTCTTTTTCTTCATTATCCTTATTTTCTTTTTCTTCTTTTGTTTCATGTACATTTTGTTCCTCGTATGATTCATTTGTAATATTGGATTCCTCTTCTTTCTCTTTATCCATTTCCTCGTTGTCATTAGCTATTTTAACATCCTCATTCTTTTTCATTTCTAAACTGTAGCTACTTGGATCACTTAGGTATGAGTTAATTTTTCTAATCAATTTTTTAATTTCTGTTTTCAAAGAACCTTCCTCTAATTCAGTGAATTTATTAAATAATGGAAGTATAACAATGGGATACAAAACTATTATAAAAATTTGTAAAACTACAAAGAAAATAAATGCATAAATGTAGAAATAAGCAAAGTTACTGATGCAGTAAATAAGGGCATAAATAAATACAAAATTAATAACTGAAAAAATCATGGTACTTTTCAAAAGATCAGAAAAAAACAATGACAAAGTCATCTTATTAAAACCATACCTTTCCTCAATAATAAAATTAGAAACAAGATCAAAAGGAATAAAAATAATTGTAGAAATAATTGAGTAACTTACATAAAAGAAGGTCATTCCTAAAATAGTATTGCTAAAGTAAGAAAAAAACTTATGGAAAATATCCTTTTTGATGATAAAGATATCTAAAGCAAGTGAAACAAACATCCTAAATAATGACAAGTAATGTCTCTCTTTGTTGTAGTTTTTAGTCTGCTCTAATTCTTTTGGTGGAATCGTAGGATGGGTTTTGCATGAATTTAAGCAAAATATTTGTCTGCCTATTAAAAATGTTTTAAATAAACAAATAAAGCTTAACAAGTAAGGTAAGCTCTTATGAGTTGAATAAGACATGGGTAATATTTTTAAACAAAATAAAATAATTAGAATTTTTAATATAAATTAACCTATTTAAATTTAAATTAATCAATTATTTTTTTATTAAAATTAATTGACTTTTATAAAATTTAAAAAATACATTAAAATTAATTTTTTATGAAATGTGAAAGTTACTTTAAATTTATATCTTTACATGAATCCTTATAGTTTACGGTAATTGTCCCCTACTAGTACGGGTTCGAACCCCAACCATGTATTTTTTGACATTATAATTTTTAGCTTCCATGAATCATGGGACTATGGTAGAGAAAACAGCAAACTATGAAAATTATATTGAGTTCTTAGTTAAAAATGAATATATATGCTCTGAAAAAAGGTGTAGTAATTGTGAAAATATAAAAATGAATTTAAATAAAAATAAAGAATCTATAAGTTGGAGTTGCGACTCCCGCTTTAGCACAAAATCTGTTTTGCCAAACATAATATTAGAAAACTCAAAAATAAGGCTTAAAAACTTATTTTATTTAATTTATTTTTGATGTATAGAAAAAACACAAAAAAATAGTCATGAGCGCAAGACAAAAGGTAGAAAAACAATTTCTAATTGGTAAAAAAACTTTCACTTTAAACATATTACATAATGTGTAAAACGAGAAATACCGCAATTCGTGGAGTTGGGCATTTTATTGGCCTAGATGAAAGCTTGTTTTCAAAGAGAAGAAACAACATATATAGGGTTGTCGAGACAATTTGGATAGTTGGAGGTGTTGATTTCATATCAATGAGTTATTTTTTGAAGGTATTTGTAATAGAAATGAAGAAACTATAGTTGAAGTTTTAAGCGAAAATATAATGCCAGGTATTACTATCATAACAGATTGTTGGAGAGTTTATTTAAATTTTTCATCAATTGTATATAATCATTCAACTGTTAATCATAGTCAAAATTTCATCGATACCATATTGGAGCCAATACACAAGCGATTGAAAATCGTTGGATATTTTTAAAAGAAAATTTAGATCAAAGTACGTAGTTCCAAATTCTGATATTACCATATTTTTTTGTAGATTTATGTTTAAAGTGTTACATAAAGAAAAAAACCATTGAAGTTTTTTTGAATAATATAACAAATTATAATTAAATTTGTTATAGTTTTATATTTTTTATTGCTTTGTATAAATATTAAAAATTAGTTTTGTTGAGGTCGAACCCGTAGTATAGGGGACACTCGCCCTTTTGGGTAGTATTTTTTTATTCTTTTTATAGTTATTAATTAAATTAAACAGAGAATCCAGATTCAATTGATTGCTTCCCTAAATGGTAATATTAAAAATATTACAGTATCCAACTATATTTAAAATAATACTCTAGAATATTCTTAAATGCCTGGTGTATACCAGAAATTTTTAATATAATTTTGATTATTGTTTTTAATTATCTTATAAGTCTTCTTTTTCATATGATTTTAAAATTTTGTTGTTTTATTCTAAGAATTCAAATAATTAACATTATCTATTTTTATCTTTATTTTTATATTTATAATGATTCCTTTTTATTCTTTAAGTAAAAATTTTTTTTATTCTTAACAGCTTTTGCTTAAATTATAATTTTTTAATCGATATTGGGTGACATTCCGTTTTGTATACAGGTTCGATTCCTGTTGACTTTTTTTTAATTTTTTATAAAAAATTTTTTAGAAAAGAAATTTTTTGAAATTTAGAGATCATGTTTAATCACAGACAACTATGCAAGATGACAGAAAACTACGAGAAAACAGTAGATTGGATGTTAAAAACAATTTTATACCATCAGAAATGTATTGTAGTGAATGTAATAATAAGAAAATGAAGTTAGAAAATATAAGGAATAAAAAAAGATAGAGATGCACTAAATGCAATAAAACATTTTCTTTGTTTAAAAATACTATCTTAGAAAATTGTAAAAAAGATATTTCAGAGATACTTGATATTATTTATTTTTGGTCATTAGATTTAACACAAAATAAGGCCATGATTGAAGGAAATTCGAATAGCATTGATACAATTTTTAATTGGTACAAGAAATTGAGAATTCAAACTTATTATATTATGATAAATACAAGAGCATCAAAGATAGGAGGCATAGGACATGTGGTTGAGGTTGACGAGGCTAAATTTAGCAAGCGAAAATATGAAATTGGCAGAATTGTAAGATCTGCTTGGGTGGTGGGCGGAGTTGATTTAACAACTGGTGAAACCTTTTTTGTAGAGGTTTTTTACAGAAACGAACATACCC